ACTGTAATTTATTCTGACAAGATACAATTCTTTGTAATTAAGCAGTTTTAGCATTCTAAATGGACTATATCAGTTCCAGAGTGGACATTCTTCTTGCGAATAATATGTTGGAAACGATGAAAACTCTTTCAACATGCAAATGTCGAATTTACGTGAGAAAATTAGTGCGTATGTGACTTCGGGCAGTAACATTGTTCAATCCTGTATAATCATTATCATGTTAGCTCCTGCACTTTATACCTTCATGACTCGATGACGTCACAAGACGAACTCTAATTATTTGATCTTAACGGTTATTGCACAACATGTTGAACAGGTGTGGTAAGTAGTTGTCTTTTTAGGTTAAAAACATTTTACCACACAATGAATTAGAAGTTGGCGATGTAATGCCCATATAAAATTAGGAAGTAGAGACCTGTGGCACCTGATCATAAAAATAAGCCATCGTTTAACTTTTAATCGAAACTTTTAGATGCTAAATCGGGCTCCTCCAGGTAGTCACTCCCTTTGGAGTGTTGATTCGATCAAGTTTAAAGCACATTAGCTATTTAAGCGATTGTTGGAAGCCTTTTGGAGTTCGTTTAGCACTGGACTGCCATGTACTAATTTTTAATAACGCTGTCCATGTAATTTGTAGGTGCAACCTTTGTCTGCCATCTATTTTCCAGTATTACGTTATCCCTAACCCGTTAAGATATATCTTTTTATTACTACAAACAGCAAGTGCCCTGTTTTACCCGTCACCTGCATGAGAATCTGATATGGTAAGGAAATAAAGGTAAAACACGCAAGAATATCTGATGAAGAACCAAGATGTGGCTAGTCAGTAAATTATTTTCTCTAATTTATCACAAATTCACTCATTTGGGTCTTTAATCATCCTGTAGAATTATGGTCTACTTCGCCATTATTATTATTACTATAGACCTTATCCTGAAATCGTAAATATGTTTTGATGTGACTGCCCAATCTATAAGATCTTACGTAAAAGTCACATCATTGTTTGCACTGGCTCATTGTGTCATAGCAATTTACAACATCATGTCTGAAGTTTCTTAAAAACACACTCAGGCTAGAGATAGAACAATATATTCAATGTGAGTAAAGACAAGTTATACAGAAAGACCACGTCTGAAAGGCTGTCATGCAGTTGGATTAAACGAATGTTCCCGCGTTCACCATTGTTGGCCTTCTGTTCCTGCTAGTCGTTGAATATCTATTTCCGCAGTTATCTAATCTTCAGCTTTGAGGATTGTGTGGTTATGACCAATACCATAACATAATAAGGTATTACATCAACCACCGTAAGTCCGATTCACAACTGAGCTCTGTCATACATATCACCATGAATTTGCACGACATTCGCCTCTTCTAATCCGGTTCGTAACCTCGGATACCGGCCATGAATAAGAATATAAATATACATCAACTGAAAAATGAAAAAGATAAAGTCATATTCAAAGCTGATCACTGTCATAGCTGCGGCTGAAAACATGGATTTCTAAATCATTACACATGATCGCTACACTTTAAACTTTCTGGCTTTAATTTCTGTGGGATCAAAGTATCTCTAGATCGTTAATGTAGGTGATTGTGAGCCTACTGTTGTTGGATTGAAAAGGCATGACCTCCTAGCTTACTCTGGACCCATATCTCGATGTTTATACTTAACCTTGATTATGCTGTTGTGATTTTCAGGTGGCTCGCTCTGATAAATGCTCCCAACAGGCAACCGCCTACATTAGTATTAAGAGTTAAAGGAAGTAAGGGCGGAACCACTGACGCATGCTGCATCATATCACGTCGAGCTCACCACTAAAGATGTCACAAGTATTCGGACTTTGACGACGCCTTTACCAGTGACACCTCTATAATCCAATCAAATCAGAGATTATAAGTGAAGAGGTCTGAAGTTATATCTGAGAGGATGTCGATATCGCGAGAAGCGTTTGATCTAAGCCGGTTAACGATTGCATGAAATGTATAGCATGGCGTACTCACTCGTGATCTGGTGTGGATGCCTGACCGAGCGCCTTCGGTTAGGTGTGCCCAGAAAAACTAGTGTGGTCAGCATTGAATGTCGAGGACTTTTTTACCACTAGAGACATTAGAAAATACTTGGAACTGCACTGGAACAACAAGCCGGTGCAACGAAATCAGTCAGTTTGTACAATTATATGACAAAGATAATGAAGTAATTTTTTTGATTTCCGAATGGTCGTTATTTTGACGTTTATTTTCTAAAGTGGGCCATGAATTCCATCTTCAAGGCCGGGAAAGCGAATAACCGGTCAACCTTGTTCGGTATAGTCGAAAAGTCATGCCACTGGTTTTCGCTCACGTGTTACATGTCACATGTTACATGTGATGTCGTTATTTATCAGCTATTCACAGCATCTTTTTGGTCACATGTCAATTTTCGTAATCTTTATGCTTGTTGCATAGCGTTTATTCCAGTTTATTAGCAGCTTGACGCTTTTGTTGCTAACCACCTGGGTGAATGTTTATAAATTCTTATTTGCTTATTTGTAACGATCCAAACCTAAGCAAGTGAAATTTACCATTTGTCAAGTCAAAAAATAGACCGAAGTCAGAGTTTCAAGCAAAAATAAGCTCTAAAATCATTTACATATGACTCACTTCCCTAGCTATGGTAGTGATGAACATAGGTGTTGGTAGTTGTTTTTAAATTGTAGATTGAGGCAGTTTAGCGTTAGACTATTTATGAATATTATATAACTTACTAATATACAGCCGTAAACATTTCGTTTCATTATAATTATCATCGTTTTCAACTGGACTGATATATTATTACGTGAGGTATCTGAGAAAGAAAAAGTATATGAGTAACAATTGACGTTGGTGGCCTTTTCTGCCCACTTTCTGAACATTTTCTGGAATTGTGTATAACATTACTGTGAGTCCTGTGGTGGATCTCAGCGAAAGAGCTTAGTTAAAATATAACAATACGCAAAGTTACCAACAATATACCAAAAGAATTAACACTACAAACCTAAGCGTGTGTCTATGATTAACGCAAAAGGTAACAAATTACAGTTAAATTATAAAAAGGTATATTGAGCAACAAAATGGTAAAAGTGTTATGAAATGAATGTTACTTGTAAGCTGCTTTCTGAGATAACAACCACAAATAAGTTCACTTGGTTACCAAAGGTTCCTCTGCACGTGATGGCACCAACAGCAAAATGAAGAAGATTAGATCCAGTAGTATTATTCAGTAATGATCTGGGCCGAATCTCCAACGTAGTGTGGAACGGCCTAAAAGGATGTTATAATACTATTATAATCTTCAACCAAAGGCCGTGGCCGTTAAAGCAGAAGAATAGACGGCGGATACAACGTTTATATTTTTAGAATCACGGTAGTGAAGAAGTGTTATATATAACCAAACAAAAGTATTCATTTCTTTACCATTGATACAGAAAAACAATAGATATCGAATATAAGTGTGGTTACATATAAAGTGTGACAGCTAGGAAAAATATGTGATCTTTAATTTGTTGTTACAAAAAATCACTAGATACAAATGTCACTATAGTTCCACATAAGTTAGCTCCGTTTGGGTAATCATGTTGTCGTGTTGTTATGGAATTTATGTGTATTATTTATCTTCCGTCGGCTGCATTGTCTAAGAATATGAGCTATTTAGTTTACTTATTTCGTAATTTATTAGGCATACCTGTAAGAGTTCGCCTTCTGAACTTATCCAAGATCCAGGTTACACCCGCGCGAAACTCCTTTTGCGTCCATGCGAACAGAACAGGAGGGCCCCGTCCGGAAGTATCCGTTATCAGCAACTGTGCAATTAAACACCACAAACATGAATTTAAATCTTATGTCCTTCAGTCGTTTACCTTCGCCGGAATGTAATGAGTAAATGTAGTCTGAGAAGGGATAGTATTATTCTTCCACACTTTTTGAAACTCCTTTAAGGCACAATCAAATTCAATCCAACTTACCAAACGCCTGTTCAGTAATAAGCGTTGAAACGTCTCTCTTAAATCCACTGCAAAGTCTCTCGAACATGAATTACTACAAACAGCACTTAATAATTAATAAAAAAAGCTATTTCTGGAGATAATACTTTAATAATTGAAGAAAGTACAAACATATAAGACTTACCGGTTAATCAAGATTTCGTCTTAATTCTTGTGGAAAACAACGATTCACACGGACTGAAAGGAAGTTATTGTCAATAAAATGCTTTGTGGACCCTAAGTTTTAAAGAAAGTCATTTATATTCAGCAGGGTAATTGATATCTCAGGTCAAGTTACGAAACAACAAAAGAGTCACATTAAACACTACAAAACAGAGGAAGTTAAATTAACGCTTTTCGCATTTATTTCGTGAATTTACTGCAGCAAAACACTACTAAAGTATGTGAAAGTCCGATATTCGTGCAATCCAACGGACACCCAAGAGATCCTCAACAACTCAAATACGGAATGACCTCCTCTTGTCAGGTCGTTCAAGGTCGTTAAAACGAAACGGCGGGCGGCTTTGAGGGGCAGTGACTCTGACCCTGTTCTTCTTCTCCCAGCCTTAGACTATCAGCCCTTGGTCTCGGTTACCAGATAGTCTTGATTTTGCGCATGTGTTATTGCTAGCTGTTATTGATTGCTTAGATTGTTAAATGTAAGTACATTCCATTTTTTTGCTATATGGGTCCACTTTTTTTCTGTTTCTTCCCGGTTTTTCCTACTCTCACTCCTGTTCACGCACTATCAGTACCAAAAATAACTTCAGACAAAACGCAGAGTGCAATGTCCTTTCTTGCGTGTCTTGTTATCCTGAACTTTGAAGTCCAGTGTTTAGATAACTCAGCTGAGTTGTGAACAACTTAGTGTGGCGTCGGTGTGTAAACTCTTTGTCATTCCTTTAAACCGTGAGATTAAATTTGCTCTATATCTTCCTTTCTACAAACTGAATCTTTCTTCTGTATCATTTTTTTGTGAAGCTTTTTTCTTACAACCATTGAAGTACTTTCATGGACGTGAGAGGTGCTACTTTAACTGAAAAGATTCTTTCTGGAAAATTTCCCAACTGAATTGCTGCTTCCACTATTTTTGACTCATTTACCTATTGTTTTTTTTCAAACTATCATTCTCTGTCTCTTCACGATCTCATTTTATTATTATTTGGTGCATATTTATTTTTCTGCCTTTTTGGGCTAGGCTATAATTTATGAACGACCTTTGAGCGAATCTTAAGCGACCTTGAGAAATCTTAGCCAATCAGTAAACAATCAGCATAGGGTAAAAATATATTATACAAAACCGAATAATTAAAATGGATGCACTGCTTTCATATGGTCCAAAAACTTGTCAAGGTTAGAAAAAGGTTTAAAGGTTCCAAAATCGTAATGCATAACATAGAGGAACTCATCCATATGGCTCCATATGACCCCTGGAGCCATGTTAAGGTTACAAAAACTCTCAGCCTCGACTACATAGCTTCATTACTGTTTGTGTGTACTCCGGTTGTGTAAGGTTATCATTTTTATTATGGATGTGTCCCCATAACACTTATACCACTGAACAGCCGAAGCTTCAGTAACATCTGCGATTATTGCAGTCAATTTTAGTGGTGCTTTTACTATACAGTTCGGGGAAATTGTTATAATATGCTTTAATCTCAATATGGATTGGGCGATAAAGGTTCCTATTCTAGCAAACGTCTTCCTTCAACATATATTACATCGAGGGACAACATCACGGTAGTCTGCACAAGGACTACAAGTCATTTAATTACCACAATCACAAATAAAGGAATTTCTTATTAGTCTCATTTGTTGTAGCCGCTCAATTGTCAAGTCTTCTCTAAAATTCTCTGCGAACCGATCGTACATGAGCATCAGGTACTGAAATTGGCGCCGTGATCTTGAAATCCCTCAAACGCTACTGATTGGCTCGTCCATAAATTATAGTCTCACCCTCAGTTATTTAAAAGTGAGACGTCCTTATATACTATGAGTTACTATTAAAGGTCTTTCCTAAAGATTATGACAATAGTGTCCTATTAATAATGTGCTAGTGTTTGATGCCTAACTCCAAAATGAATAACTGGATCCCATTCTTTATTCATTTACGTTCCTTACTATTACTCTCTTAGATAGGAACTGGTAACTGGCATGTCTTTGAACTCATGTGACGTTATTTCTTCATAATTGGAGCATGAACTTGTTTTCATTTATTCCAAGCGCTATAGTAATGCTTTCAGAATTAATTGTTATAGGATCAATAGTCAACAGTATTTTCCTAATTTCGCGTTAAAACCCCATTATTTGCTACACAAGTTTTGATTTTCGTCTGGATTGAATTGTCATTTTCTTTAAAAGGGAAAGGTGAAAGTAACGTTTTGCTGGGTTCATTTCCATATCCGAGCTCTAATACCTGGATTCAGTACTAAATCTAACGAAGAATTTTATATTTCTGTTTTGGATAGTCTATAATCGGCTTATAAAGTTTGGGAATAAAATTTGTTTTTACCTCTGAAGCCCCACGCCGTATTTGTAACTATAGTGACATATTAAAATTCAAATCCATTGTTAGGACTCCCAAAACCAGTAAATTCAACGAAGTCAATAATCTTTTACAAAAAAACCCGTAACTTTTTGTACAGTGTGTTGATTTCTTTAGAAAACCTAGAGATGTAGGAATATCTTGTTTTCCTTAGTTCTCATTGATTCGACAGTCATTTACTGGGAGGTGTTTATGAAATGTCACCATAGGTCTTTTATAATAAACTGAGTAAAGCCAATTGTTATTCTACTTGACATTTTTGAGCTCTGATGTAGGTTTCTGATTTTTATTCTTGTAACTAGTGTGTGCGCTATTTAATTCTAGAAGTGAAGATGCATCTCATTATTCTTGCTAGTTTCCTTCAAAGCATTTGCTTGTACAATATTGTAGCTTTTGATTTTTAATTTTAAAGATCCACTCCTGTGATATGACTCATCCTGGTTTATCCATCATCAAGTTACCAACTACGGATTCTGCACCAGGTAACAACTTTATAGAAAGTGCAGGAGAAAAGGTCGCTCAGCGTGTCGTGTTGTTTCCAAAACAGAGTAACCCAGGAAGCCAACTTATTTGGCGTGGTGGTTGTTTGCAAAGCATTTTGAGTGATGTGCCAAGTCAAAATACTCAGTCCAGTGTTGGGCAGCTAGGTAACAGCTTTGGAGAAACCTTACAAAGAAAGATAGTTAACATAAACCCCTTTGAAGACAAACCCTTATCTTTGTCATTGCCATCGGTTTGGAATCAAAATCAGCAGAATCCTACTAGAGATGGAATCTGTTCCTTAAATTCGAAAAACAAAAACTTAAAGAGACCTAGGAATGAGTTCAATCCTAATAACCCTGAAGGTAACAGTGATTCATCTGAGGAAAAATCATCTACAAAAGTCTCAGTAACCAAACCTCGCATTCGAGCACAAACGAAACGTTCAGGTATACTACTTTTGGTGTTGGTAAAATATAAACTGCACTCTCGAATTGCATTTTATTATTGTTGATTATAGCCTCATTTTAACCAGAAAATATCATTGTGGGGAGTAAATTGCTGTATGTACGGTTGCTGTTGGTGTATTATTACAAGCGTTGTAGTTACTGAAGGATAGTGAAGGGACAAACAGCATGGCAAAGAGTTTAAAATATGAAACCGATAAAACAGTCGAATAGGTTATTATATTTTAAAGTTGTCACTAACCCACTGTTTAATTAGGCACAATTTTGCACCATCGATCTAATTTTCCACATTTTGAATCGCTATAATGAGTGGAAAAATTAGCAGAATCAGAATCATGGGAAGAGAAACGTATTTCAAAAAGGATAAACACTAAAACTCACTCACGAGGAATAAAATTGTTCAGTAGAAAAGTACAGATCTTTGTTTACGGTAGTTGTATCTGGTATCAAATGATACACCAAAAACTTCATAGTAGCTCTATCGTTGTTTGTGTTGGATATAATATCGTATACACGTAAACTTAAATTAACAGATAAATTGGAGTACCACATTAATCAAAGAAGTAGATTAGTGGGTTTGCTGTTAAACCATTTGGCTCAGTCAATAGTTCACAGGTTTGTACTCCTCCCTACCTACGTTGGTTTGGTCAGTATATAGTATCACTAGGCATCACATAAAGTGTGGCTCAAAGCTGAGCAGAATATCCTGTTCTTTGCAAATGGGTCACATTAGTAATTAAACGAGGGAATTTTTACCAATGATATATACGTGTAACTTGAACGGTGAAGCTAACCGTCTTAGCTAAATTCATCTGTTATTTATTCGGCGTACTGCAAATATTTAAGGGATAAGCTCGAACGCTACATGTGGTCCCAAAATAGTTAAACGACTCCTCATGCTGATGTATAAGCATAAATACGTAATTGCATATTGGATGATAACTATCTACATTGACCGAAGCTCAATATTGTTGGGTAGCTAAAAAAAATAAAACTTAGTAATCATGATATTCACCATATAAAAATCAGAACCAGGAAGCAAGATTTTACAGCTGAGATCATTCCAGTACAGTAAACAACTGATCTCTTCTAAGTTAGCTACTCCGAAAGACAAATTTTGTTAAGATTTGTTGATAGAGACCAAGTTGGTTCAGTTATATATCAATTAGGTGATTATTAATTAAAGAGTCTCATTAACAGAGTAATTGTCACTGAACACAAAATCTTATTGAAGTAATCAATGCAAAAATCGAACAGTTAACGACAACTAGAAGTTAGTGAATATAATTCACTCAGAATAGTTCAGTACAACGAAAATGAGTTGAAAGTGATTCAATGCAAATCACCTTAAATCAAAGTGCGAAGTGAAGATTGACCTTCTTCATTATACGTTGTATTTGAGGATATAGCATCCTGAACACAAGGTATTTAAACTTGACCTATGGTCATAGTCATATTTACAGGGTTTGTTTTTAGTTGTTGTTTTTCCTATATTTTAAGTAAGGAATGTAGTAATACTCCGTCATCTATGGGAAGATAATTATCCTGAAATGTTGACTCAGTATTCCGGTTCAGCACTCATATAGTAACTGTTAATCCATATCAATTAAGGTCAAAAGTGTGTAGGTAGGGTCATTAGTACTTAGGCTTCTCTTCATTTTGGACCACGGCCTTGAATAGTGTATTGGATAGATTTGTATACTTCACTTTGAGTGACAGATCTACTAAATAATATCAACGATTGTATACTAAATTTTGGTATCTTTTTATTTTTATTACTGTAAAATTCCAGGGCGGCGAAATGCTCCAAAAGTAAGTCATGTAAAATGTTTGCATGTATCACACTACCAAGGATCTTCATCCATTAGTTAAATCAGTAATCTGAAAATATTTCTTCTTCTACCTAATTCCAGTATATTTTATATTTCTCGGAAGCCACTTCTCCTGGGACTGTCATTCTAAAGATGTATATATATATATATCACTTTTTGAGTTTATTTCATGATTCGAAATTTTTTTTGTGAAGTGGGTACCACTTTATCGCATAGAACGTTGGTTAGAAATTTTAATTGATGTGGCTGAAATAAATATTCCAGTTGTGCCACTACATCAATCCTAGCTATTTCTCTTAAATTTGGGTTGTCTTTTTGCACCCTTTTAATTTCGTGTGTCAGTTACTGTTAACTTTTAAAAGTTTGTGGTACCTAGTAATTAGATACTTTTAAGGCCCAATGGTGCACATGGGCTCTAGTATCCTGATGGAACGAATGGCGTATGAACCTATTGTTGGTCACCGGCTACCATGAGATTGGATCTCCTCACGATGCTCCACTGCCTTGTGGATCAGACCTTTAGGTCAAAGGCTCGGGGTTTGGCCCCCTTAGAAAACCACCTGCTTCAGTCTGAGCACCTGGGCAGTATCACAGCCCTCACACAAATCAAATGAGATTTGTGCGGCGCATATTTATCTGGTGCTTTTTTGTACCAATATTTACGTGTTTAAATAAATATAAATAAATAAAGATACTTTTGAGAATTATTAGTATTAAAGAGCGCCAGACCTAACACAAACGTACATCAGCCTAAGTTCCCGTACCAAATGGCGAGACGAAATTAACGGTATATTTAGCATTGAGGTCGAAATAATCGTAGTATAAGTCAGTCATAAGCAACGTGGAACCTGCTATATTTGTGGATCGGTTAAAATCAGTAATAGAGGGAAAGACCAAACTTGAAGAACATGGTATAAAGCAGTCGAATAATAAATATGAAATAATACTAAAACTTGAGATACAGGAGAAGATAAAGAGTAAATGCGTTTGCGGTATTGTGATTGATTTTGAATCATCTCATAGAAACTATACTTGAATTTCAGCTTCATCGTGGGTGATAAATATCAGTATGATGAACAGTTTACCTAATTAAATATTTTAGTAAATCATAAGCATCCTAGTTTTATATGCTTAATATGGTCACTTTTAAACATATTTCACGAGTCATTAGTCTTTTTAACGGAATTATCTGTTTTATTTAGCCTGTACAACAACCTCTCCTCTTAACCTTGCGACCTTTTCATCCACCTGGAAACTTGTTACTTCCTGCACTTGATCTAATGTCTAAGTTTGGTAAGTTAACTGATTTTTTTTGTAAACGTAGTTATTACTCTGTGTAGCTGTTTTTTCCCGTAAATAAATGTTCCCACCAAACTTATCTAAAGACGTTACAAAAGATCCTATTCATTGCATACTAACACCGCATAATAGTCTGTTTTGGTGTGGTATGTGTTGAGTAAAGATTGTATAAATTGTTTTCCTTTTGTGTTGAGAGAAACATCGTTAATCTTAGTGATTTTCCTTTTAAGTACTTGTGGCAAATGCAAGAAGTAAAGCTGAGTTCCGATTTTCTCAGCTTTTGTGTTATGCATATCTGGCTTCAAGGTTGAATTTTACCATCCTAATTACTGGTTGCCAGTCGGTGGAACTGAATTGATACGAACTATATTGTTGCATCAAAATGAACACTTTGTTATTTACACTGTATCTGAATGATAAATGACTTTCGATTCATTAGCTTATGGAAGTTTAAATAGCCAAAAAGTAAGTTTGTATATAATTGACGGAAATCGCTGAATATATCGCTTGACAAGTCATGAACTTTTGTTAAACTATAGTGCACAACTTGAACGTAAATCCTGACTCAGGGGTCTACAGGTGACGCGCTCGCCCTAAGACGTAGGTGGTCTGTAGCCATGAAAAAAAGAACGTGTATTTTGATTAATTTCTACAACCAAGCAGATAAACATCAATTATTATGTCCAATACTGCAAGTTGAATATGTCATCTGATGGGACTTATATGAATCAGGATTTGTATTGTCAATTTTCATTATTAAGTTTGTAAAGTGTATCTTGTTTAAGCATATTGTACAATTTGTTAGTTTGTAGATGCTTATGACTTAAAGTAATATCGAGGCAATCCGTACAGGATGCACGTATGCTAATAAGAGACAGATCAATCGCAGTCCTAAAAGTCAATGGGAAGATTTAAATAACTAATACAAGATGAATTCACTTAGTATTGTTTGTTTGAATCTTCCCATTGATGCCTAGGACTGCAACTGGTCAGTCTCTTATTGGCATATGGGCATACTGTACGTATTGCCTCGATGTTGCCTTAATTCACAAGCATTATAAGCAAATATGGATAGTGGCTATCAAGACTCAGTAGCTGAGTGGATAACGCGATGGCGTTTGGAGCGAAAGGTACTGAGTTCGAGTCCCAGAGTGAACATCAACTCTGAGATGCAGGTAAATCCAGCTGACGAGTCCCAAATAAGACGAAACGCGCGTCTTGGATTTCACTGCTAGCCACTATCTATCTTTGCTTACAATACAAGATGCGTTTTCATTATTAAAACGATACGACATAAAGTGCTACGCGATTAATTTCCTATCACATTTAATAGCCTATTTATTCAACTAATTTTTAGCTCATCATGTAAATCTTTCCCCATAGTTAATTTATGCACTCCTGTATTTTATATAAAAAAAGAGTAAATTCAACATAATAAATTGTCAAAGTGTATTTATTTAAACATTTTGACTAGTTTTCATGGCCTATGTATATGGAGTCTCTAAGAAAAATTGGAAGGTCGGTTTGATCGTTATTTTCCTATTTAAGAATGTTAAATTTCTTTACCTTTCATGAACTTTTACTATAAATATTAGGAAGTGGCTTAAAAAATATCAATCGAACTATAAGTTGTACGTTTCTCAAGTGAATTCAATATGTAGTATTTCATTATATATAATTTTGTTCAAACAAAAATACTATATTTGCTTCAGTCACAAACTAATATCTGTTAGAAAACACTTTAAAAACATACTAGATCGGTAAGTTTAAACTTCAGTCTTGCTCATAGTTGGATGTGTAAAATTTTGTACTAGGGTGATTTATTTCTTGATTCTCAATAGTTCTTGACGAAATGTCATTCCCTAATGAAGGTTATACCCAAATTAGTTAATTTTCGCATAAACTGCTACATCAAATACATGTGAAAGATTTAAAAATTTGCTTTTGTAATATGTATATATATATGTCTTGCTACTAATGTCCTTACCACAATACTGTTGTTTTTCATAGATGGCTTAGTTTCATTTGAAAATGATAAATTAGTAACAAATAATACTTCGAGTGGTTTATCAACTATCAACGAAGAAAATATTGACGAGACATCAACAACAGTTAATGCTTCTGTATCAACTACCGGTCGGATGAAAAGTAGCGCAGGAATAAATGATATCGACTTTGAGGTTAGTTTTCACTAGTTACCCACTTTTTTCTCACCTGGATTTTTATTCATCAAGAATTAAAATATTGGTCATATTATTTATGTTATGTTGAAACGTATTATGAAATTCAGACAGGTTTACTCTGAATATTTGACAGACATTATCGTTGTCTTCCTGTTATATTTGAAGCGATTACGAGTTTCCTAACCTGTGAAGGGGACGAAGACTCTGTTACCAAAGACCAATAAGTTAGCTATTCTGACGTGATCCAGCCCCGCTAACTAGAGTAAGAAGTCCGATTCCGAAGTGGGAAAATATATTCCGCAAGCAACCAAAAGTACAAGCAGTCACAACAGGCACGAATCAAACGTATATATGCAGCATAAAATTTTCTTTGGGGAGCGTTACGAAATAGCATACTAAAAGATACAACATCCCCAACACTTCCTCATTTGCCTACTTCAGTTCAACTAATTGTTTTTTTTGATTTGACTAAAAATACTATCGACTCGGTTAACATCTGTAGTCCTTGTAGGATTTGCTTGTATTTATCAATAAATGAGTTCGGGATTCGTGTTTCTTTGAATTAATATGTAGTTGTTAGACAACTGTCCAGAAAGTTGTTGATGTTTACTTACTGAAGAGTTTCGTCACCATTATTATTATTATTATTATTATTATTATTATTATTATTATTATTATTACTATTATTACATTTACCCATTTATTACACAAAATTTGATAAAACTAAACACCATAAAATCCAGGATTCTAAATCTTTTTGTTGTATTACATCCTCAAACGAACTGAAGATCCCCCATCAACTAATCAGAATTTTATTTTCTTCTATTAGTTATTAGCTTCATGGTAGCTGTTTGGAGCTGGAATATGAAATTCCCTCCGTCTAAACTAATGTATTGCCGCGTATTGATTGTACTAACACTTATCATTCTGTCAAATATGTCTCTATATATCTCAAATCGAATGATATTGATTGCGTAAAACAATAGCTAATTCAAAACTAGTGCACTCGTTTTTAAACTTGAGATTTTTAAAATTAAAACTAATGGACAACTGGACGACTTGGTGTCGAGCATTCCGGGAATAAAACTAAAAACGTTTGTATTGCTCTCTAATTTTTTAATCATAAGTTGAAAAAAAACAAATGATAGAAAATCTAATGCAATTGATTAACAAAGATTGAATTTTTGCATTAATTGCAGATTTTTTGTCACTTAAAAATACTTTTTAGTTGCCTGAAACTTAGTAATGTTAAAAAAAATTGAATTGTAACCCAGCGAGTAAAACTAAAGTGGTCACCTAAGCGGATCGCAAATGTAAAATTGAAACAAGTTAACAAGCTATATAAAATAGATCATTGGTATTCTTCATAGATTTGCAATAACTATGTATTGTATTAGAGATTTTGGTCATGTGTAAAATTTACTGAATAATTCTAACTTATATGTATCCTCTATATCAAGGAATTTAAGCATTATAGACGTCTCAATGGGTATTCACTTTTCGTACATGTCAATAAGAAAAAATATGAATCATTTCCAGGCTCGACACCCGTTGATGATACAAATGATTCCAATAATAACGTACAAACTGACCTTGGTACCTCCAGTTCAGGAAAAGAAAACCAGAAGTCCAATCGTAGATGGCAGGTTTGTAACCTCTGCTAACATAGATATCGTTAATACTTTATCTTTCTATTTTATTGTTTCAATCAATTTGAAAAATGGTGCTTATTCATGATCTCACTGTATTCTGTTTATCAAAGTTAAGGTGTTGGCGGAATATTTATTTCTCTATGATGCATGATTGTAAAAGCTGTACTGGCGAGATCTTGATTTTTTTAGTGGCACACTGAAGTTCTTTTTCAGGAAACAATATCTAGTTCGGAAGGCCCCCTGCCTCTTTCTTAAGATACATCTATCACAGCTGATTACACATCCTTCAACATTTTGGTTTATCGGCAAGAATCTTATCGCTAGATGTTCTTAACGTCTAAATATAAGCAAGGTTTTTGCTTTAAATATTTCTAAAAGCTTCAGCACTGTTGGTAGCTGTTTCGCTGTATTCGTGGGTATTTATGATGATTAATATCATTAATTTCAATTTTTCAGTGATTTATTTCTTAATCACACTCATTATGTGAAAACAATGGCACGGAAACTCACGAAGCCATTGCTTAAGGTCAAGAAGAATTTGTCAAATGAGTTTTTCTTACTGTATCAAATTTTATCGAACACCTGGTCGATAAGATCAGACCATCAGTGTCATGTAAACAAGACCTCAGTAAAATCTTTTGAAATGTTATGAAAACCGGATGTTTTTATTGAAACAGTGTAGTTAAGTCGTATACATAACCAAAGGATGATCTTCCACATGAAGTCAGCAAAAATCGTAGGAACTCAAAATCCTCATCAATTTCTAAAGCACCTAGTTAAGTTAAGACTTAGTAAATAATAATTCTCCAAATTAGGGAAGTTTGCCAGGCTAAACGTTGGATTTATTTCAAATTCATTTACTGACATTTTACAAATAAATTATTCCTCTCCAGTGTCTCACATCAAATCGGCACCCAAATACTGTGAAACGAAAGTTCCTTTATGGGGAAATTTGCATTTGAAAAGCACCAAAAATTTAGTTTTCAATAAAATATCTTGTAGTTTTTCAATCTTCTTGACCGTTTTTGTCCAAACTGATAAATGAGAACCGGGAAGTTAAGATTTATTTAGCTGAAAACAGGAGTGTCAGAAATAAATTTGATTACTGAAAAATATGAGTAACTGAGAAACCTTCACATCCTAGTAAATACAATTTTGTATTTGACTCAACTTATTGTAAATGTCATAATTATGCGTTTTGATAAATTAAATTCTAGAGGTACAAATCATTGTACAGTATTTTGATTTCAATAGACCTTATGTAACTATTCTGATTTATTAATTTCGAATAAATTGAGCATTGAGTAGATTATTATAAATAAGTAATATATTCTCTGACGAAGTGGCTTACACCGAATCACGAAACGCCAGAAAATCTAATTTTTCTACTGATTGGGATATTACAAATATATTTATTTATATTCTAATTTTTTCATTTAATATTAAGAAGAATAGACTTATATGAAAGCAAGAAAAGATACGAAACTTTGATCTTGTAGAACAAGTTAAAAATCATTGAAGGATTTAGCAAATACGAATTGTATAGTATTTACTTGAGATGCGATGAGATTTTTGACAATAATTGCTATCAAATGTTTATTTTTAACAGGAATTTAAGTAACTGGGAGCAAAATAACATAGAACTATGTAGAAAGTGTAATTTGGCACGTAAATCTACTTACCTAGGTGCTTGGAATATTTCTTAGGCGTATAAGGAAAATAAATACTAGCCATTTATGGTACACAAGTGAATTTTCATTTATTGAGCAGTTAACTATCATCACCTACGCCTGTAATTAGCCAACGAACCCTGGCATGTACTGTATTGTTTTAATCAACATGGGATACATTGTGTTGCCTAGTTGGCTGTTTCCAGATATTTTATTGAGTTTGGTGTGGTACAACACAATAAATTGATTGTTAATTAGTTAGTTCAAATACACTTATTCGTTCATTTTTATCCAACTTAGCTGTTTTGTTTATTTAAGGCTTTATGGTTAACAGTGCCAGAAAAAGTTAAACGTGAATGGAAAAACAAGGCAAAACGTCTTTTAAAACAAATTGAACAGCATGGAAAACGGGAAGTTATATCTGAAGACAGAAAATTAAGAGAACGTGATCGTTTGGAAGTTCAACTCAGTCGCACACAAACAACATTTTATAGTTTGCTTGATCTGGCCGCTCATTTCCAGCTTTTGTGTGATCGATTTGCAACATTTTCTAAAAGTGTTAATGATTATGAGGTAATTGAAAATTTCATCTATAGTAGTTCTTTATGATCAGGAAATCAGTAGCGTGAACCTGTTATGATTAGAATTGTTTGCTTAAACTTTTACTGTTCATAACATTGTCTATGAGCTTTTGCAACAAATATCTAGTTCGTTACCTGTTTTGTCGGATAATTAAATATCAATCTGGTATGCTAATTACAAAAGTCCGAGGCGATATATCCTACGCTCAAATATTTTAAATCATTTTATATTATATTTAAATAACAGTTCGGAATATGGAGCTACTGTGTTTTTACTTTGAAGACACTTTCTCACTAAAAGTTAATTTTCATTAGCAAATAAGCTGTAACGAAAATTCAATTCGCCATTCTGTCTACAGTATCATGTGACCTTTGTAGCTATCTGAAGAGGAAATAATAAATCTCGTTCTTATAACCTACTGGATAATCGTGAATTTTACTTCAGATATGATCCATACAGTGAATGTACTACGAAAAACCATTTAAAATCTTCCAGATCGATGTATTGTACTCAAGATTACCTGCGGTCTGAGTTTATTAAAGTAGTATCTTGTTTTTGGTATTGCAAGCTATTTCATCATGTAAAAGGTTGATTTTATATATATATATATATATATATATATATATATATATATACTTAATGTGTTTGTCTTCTTGTGTTTATTTTACAGGGACCAGTTGACCCTGTAGGTGTAGAGTCGTTACTACTCGATGGTTTATTAACATGTTTAATCCCATTGATTGCACTAACAAATGAATTGGAGCCATTCACAGAAGTTCCTGATCGTAAAACTATGTGTGACGCTTTAACCAATTTAACTTTTATCGCTCCATTTTAAAATATGGAAATTTAATACATTAATATAAAGTTTTGTAAATATATCCATGTCATCCCATTTTAAATGTAGAATAATTGTGTAAATAAACTTTTCATCACTACGACGTTTTTTTCACCCTTTTGTTTCTTTATAGTTTGTGTTTTTAGGATTTTTTACTTGTCAATAAGGTAGATCACTACTATTCACCTTTTTTGTCAGTCATTATTTGACGAAAACTTGATTTGTTAACTGATTTTCTTCTTGTCGGATTTAATGAAGACTGTGTTATTGTTTGAAAACCCGAAGTCTTTGCCACAAACAATTAATCTTGAGTTTTCATGTTAGTTGATCACCGAAATATATGTATTTCAGTCATTCTTTTGTAATAATTGAGCATATTTACAGCACTAGTCTGATGAAAGTATTTTTTTTATAACTACTGACTGAATCTTACCCATTTAACTTATTTATTTATTTATTTAAACACATACATATTGGTACAAAAGGGCACCAGATACATATGTGCCACACAAAATAATGAAAGTAGGAAGAAAAGGGATGAAAGGATAATGCGAACTGAAATGTACAACCAGAAGACTCTTTCAGTTAGGAAAGTTAGAACCACTCTTTATGAAGAAAGTAAAAGAAGGTTGCAGCAGGATCGCCACTGGCTTCTATTCTGAGCCATATCTGATAACGTCTCTAGCCACTGTGTTGCACCATCTCTCGGACCCCAGCCAGGGAGTCGTGAAGGACCAACAGAAGCTAGCCCTTTGCAGCTTTTTTTCATACCACGACACCATGTCATACACTGACCTCCTCTCCGCTTTTTCCAACCAGTCCCAGAGTCGGCAAATAATGCACGACGTGGAATTCTCTGGGACGACATTCGGAGGACATGTCCAAGCCACCGAAGTCGGTGTTTCAAGATGGTGACACCAATTGAATTATCGTCTCTGCGCCCGAACACACGATGCCGAACCTCTGCATTACTAACATGGTGTTGCCACTGTATGTCAGCAATCCTTCGGAGACAACGATGATCGAACACAGAGAGTCGTCCAACATCCTCAACTCGGAGAGGCCAGGTTTCGCAAGTGTAGAGCAAAACTGCTCTCACCGACGCGTTGTAGATGCGACCTTTTACAGCCAGACTAACATCACGAAGGCGCCAAAGATGGCCCAGATTGGCATAAGCCGCTCTGGCTTTCATTATACGTGCATCGATCTCATCACTCACGCCACCACCAGCTACCTAGATACACGAACTTCTCAACTACTTCAATCTGCTCACCATCCAGGGTGAGTACAGGATGAGAATCCTGCCAGTTTTGTAGGAGTACTTTGCACTTGGAGGGTGCGAAGCACATGCCGTACCTGCGGACACTGATTGCCAACTGATTAAGTGCGGATTGCATGCCTTGGGCATTGTCGCACAGTAAGACAATATCATCCGCATACTCAAGGTCGAGAAGTCGTTCTCCAGGCAACATATCCACACCGCCATTACTTACATCCATCAAAGTTGTTTCCGGGATGTCGTCGATGGCAAAGTTGAAGAGGAATGGTGAGATTGGGCAACCCTGCCTAACCCCACTGCTCGAATGGAACAAGGGAGAAAGGTGGTTGTATGCCCTCACTCTGCCTGAGGTGTTCGTATACAGGGCCTTTAAGATGTTAATAAACTTCTCAGGCACACCCTTGTTCAATAGACAATCCCAGAGAACAGTCCTGTCCAACGAATCGAAGGCAGCCCTGATATCAAGAAACACTACGATTGTTGGCCTGCGATAAGTATGACGGTGTTCTAACATTTGGCGGAGGGTGAAGATGTGATCAATGCATCCTCGACCAGAACGAAAACCAGCCTGCTCCTCGCGAGTCAATCGTTCTCGGGTTACAGGAACAACGTGAACCCTTTTTAAAGATAGGGACGACTATCGAGTCATTCCACGATGTTGGAACACTTTCTGACTCCTAAACCCTTTTAAACAACATAGTCAATTCCTTAGTCAGAAAGTCACCACCGTCTTTAAAAAGAGCTGGAGGTAAGTCATCTGGGTCAGGTGATTTGTAGCGCTTCAAGAGTTGGAGTTCCTTGCAGACTTCCGCCTCGTTTGGTGGATCAGTCGTCACCGGCCATGAAGGGCAGGACAAACTGGTTGATGTTGCCGGAGCAGCACTCCAGTTGAACAGCCCTTCGAAGAATTCCGCCCATCGTCCAAGACGTCGAGAGATGTTAGTGATTGGCATCCCATCATCCTCATAGATTGTTTCACTCACACCAGACTTCTTGCTGCCAGTGGCTCGGATGAGTTGGAAGAGCTTCCGGCAGTTAACAGATGCAGCTGCTGCTTCCATCTCATTAGCACGCCCCGACCACCAGGCTTCCCGGTCCTTACGCAAGCTTTGCCCGATTTCATTACGTAACAGCCTTCGTTTGTGGTCAAACTCACGGTCACCCGGAGTAGACCGACGGGCTTCGATCAGTTGTAAGGAGCCAGAAGAAACCCAGTGCTTGTAAGCGGGACGTTTCGCGAAGCCGCAAGCGGCTTTACTCGCCATTTTCATGGCGTCATGAAGATGCAACCAATGCCCATCTATACTTTTCGGTGGGATGATAGCTAGCCTAGAAGCTAGCTCCGCTCGATACTTACTTGTAACAGAAGTTGCAGCCAGTTTACTAACATCGATCCGTTGATGGTGGTCAATCCTTCGGCCACTGAAAAGTAAGGTGAGATTGGCGCAGACCAGGGCATGATCAGACTCCAGATAGGTACTCCAAAAGGAGCAGCAGTCTTGTACACAACTACGCCAACGGTAGCTGATCGCGATGTGATCAATCTGAGTCCAGGCTTGAGATTCAGAGGGAGGACGCCAGGTGGCACATAGGCGATGACTGTGCCGGAAGTTAGTGCTAGCCAGAAACAGGTTGTGGTCTGTGCACAGTTACAGTAGACGGTCCTCGTTATCTGTCCTGCGACCAACAAGTCCCCATCGGCCACCTAAACGACTCTCTTCTGTGCCTAGACGTTCGACCTATGCATTGAAGTCTCCGGCTAATACTACGATATCTGTCGAACGCGCTTTCTGGAGAAGAACTGTTAACTGATGGTAAAACTCATCCTTGATTGCATCCGGGCTGCAATCTGTCGGGGCATAGGCGGAGATGACGAAAAGACACCGTTTCTCACGCCGATTTCTTCTCACTTTGATGGAACTTTCTAATTTAACAGCACATAACTGTTAATGGGGATCCAATCGATTAGTGTTGCCTCAGCTCTAGCGCTTAGTGCGACACCAACGCCAGCAAGACCAGACGAAGATGCCACAGAGTCCTCGGATAAACGCAATTGAAACAAGCTTTTCGAAGCGACAGATGGAGAGCGAATTTGTAGTACTTCACTAGAGTCTTGAATACGGGTCTCGGATAGACAGCAAACATCAACATTAAGACTTTCTAAAGACATAGCCAGCCCCATCTGTTGTCCGATCTGCATTGGTGTGCGAATGTTGAAGGAAGCCAGCTTGAACGGCGTACGTGGTTTCAGAAAGACTGCTTCAGTATTCGTAATCGGTGGAAGCATTCACTTTCAACCAGACAGTGACTGGAGAACGTTTAGATAGGACAGAGTTTCCACCATGGGCGAGCTGCTGTATAAGTTCGAAAGGAAGGATACACAATTTGGGAATAAAGGGAGTGAAAAAGCGACGTAGTAAATAATAGTAATAATAATAATAATGGTAATAATAATGATAATGCAAATTGTCTTTCTTCTATTAGGAACGAGAGCAGTGTAGTTAGTGTAGTGCGTCATTTCATATCATTTTTGTATGGGCTGTGATACTGCCCGGGTGCCCAAACCGAAGCAGGTGGTTTTCTTAGGGGGTCACACCCCGAGCCTTTGACCTAAAGGTCTGATCCACAAGGCAGTGGAGCATCGTAAGGAGATGCAGTTCCATGGTATCCAGTGACCAACGGTTGGTTCATACGCCGTTTGTTCCTTCAGGATACTGGAGCTCATGTGCACCATTGGTTTGGAATCAGGGTTTTCCAACTCCTCTTGGTGGACCCTCCGTGTCCACCAACCCGGTTAAAGTGCCGGACATTCGCTTTTCGTCCTCTCAATTTCGTAAGCAACACCCCCACCACGAGAAGGCAGTGAGTAGGACTTCCCTGGCAGAGGCTATGTATTCGCGTGGCCATGAGAGAGCATTTGGAGAGGGAGAGCGGACTCTCCCCATTTTCGGCCGTACCAGGGCATTTGGGGGCACCCGTTTAACAGATCTTACTTGTGAATACTTGTGTTTATCCTTTCAGTTTTCTGTAATTATTTCCAACTATTTGGTTAGAATTTTTGTTTGTGTTGATTCTCACTAAACTTTTGTTCCATTTAGTATATTGAGGAGTAACTGTGGTAAAGAATTGGTATGTTTATCGTTCATAGCAGAATTTCCACATATCGAAATAAGATATTGGGCTACAGTATCGTAGCACGCTAAATATAGATTTATATGCTCAGATTTAAGTCACTTTATTTATGTGATGGCTAGCTATACAACTAAGTTCCTTAATGCTATGTACGTGGTGTTAGTTTCGGATTTGCGACTTAAAGTTTGAAAACCTTGCGGGACTAGACAATCATATAATATGATGTAATAGTGAGCGGTAAATCGAAATTGAAAATATTATAAATTTCAATCTGTGATCCTGAACATGCACAACAGAACTCTTTATCCGTATTCTTGATATCTGTGTGGAAATATTTGCCTGACCGTTTTTAATGTATGCCGTTTTTCTTCTATGAGGAAATGTTTCGCAGGCCCTTGTTTCGATCATGATTGGTCTTTTGTACAGATCTTGAAGCTTAATATGTTTAGCTTTTTATGAACTCAATTGTAGCTTATTAGATTACCTACTTTAGCTTTAATTTTGCTCTACTTGTGAAGCAGAATTTAGCTAAATATAAACGGTCAAATAATCAATAACTAACTCAACTTAGCAAATACTTGTTCATGTACTTGACTTTGAGCCACAACGTTTTATTTGATTGTTACAGATACTTTCTAGCTCCTCAAAATACAGTCTGTGAGGTTTTGATTCGAATGTACAAAATAATTAGCAGAATCCAAATATTCTGACCGGATATGTATTTGGTTAAGCTGACATAAGCTTTTGTCAGTATTAGCTTCCTATGGAGTTAACCCAACCAAGCGTTGAACTCTATGAAATCTAGGTACTCAATCAGTCATCTCAAAGATTTCTATACTTGTAATCAGTCAAAGTTTTTAAATAAATTCCCGCTACTATCTTAATGTTATTTGAAATTTCTTCATCTTACTTCTATTCAAAACGTAAAATTTAAACAGTTTTGCTACATTTTTCCTTCTAAAAAGAATTTTTTTTATTTTCGAAGATGTTGATTTTTTTCATTTTGCTTAGATGAAATCAAGGGACTTACTCCATTCTCTTTTCACATAAGCTGAATATGTCTAGTACGGTGCGGCAACTTGGAGGTAGATTGTCCAAATCAATGTAAATGTTGATTGTAAAAAAAGCTTAATTTTACACTAATACACTGTTTTCGAATGAAATTCGTGTTGATAACTTGCCTATTGCATCCATTTGTTGTTGGCAACAGCGCTGAAATTGCATTGATTTATCCACAATCTCACTCATATCACTCGTACTTAAATGTGTGACATGATCACTTGGATCACTTTGAATTTAAGATATTTTGAATGAATTCGTGTATGTCTAGATGTTTATGTAATAGTATTTCCAACCTACTGTTGGTGTAAAAACTGTTACCATAATGAATTAACTACTATCATGTAATTATAGCTATTAATAATACCTATTGTGTGTAAACTTATTGATCTCTTATCCCACTAGTATTGTGTATTTGTTTATTAGTTTAAATAGTGTTGCAATGTTGAAAAAAAATGTTGGAACGATTTCTTTGAATAGACTTAGGGTAATGGTTTTCCTAATTTTTCTTATTGAAATATTATTTGGGATGTGTACTTTTACATCCGAATTTGTCTAATTACTGGTTAATCAGGTGAAAGTATTGTATCATTCAGTAAAAATATGTACTACCCTGATGACTGTTGTAATGTTCATAGTCCAGGTGTTGATAAAGTTTTCACCTTTAACTTAATGTTAGATAGCTAGGCACTGATTGTATTAATGCTATAAAAGTAGTGATTCAAAAGACAACTACGTCTCGCATTTCGGGTTTTAATTTTATTCACATCGATATCAGAATAAAAGTGGAGTAGTGTCCTTATCGTTATTTTTGGCTCAAATCCCATGCAATTTGTTCTTTGTACCGAACAAATTTAGCATTGAGTACAGCTTATCAGTATTCGTTTTCATTTCCTGAGTCTATCGATTAATAACGAGGACACTTATCTTGAGTACATCAAGTCCTACGAGTGTTCTGTTTCTTTTCCTCCATGAAATTTCAATCATTTGTTTTAGTTACACCACAAGTAGATTAGCGCAATCAAAGTTGAGTTATTTTCAAACATCCTTGTTAGAACGAATGTCATTTTGACTGATAAGTAGTATTTTATTGAAGCTCTTAAATGTTCCACTTGAGAAAAAGCTTTGTTTTTCATTTAGTATTTCAAATTTGTTTTAGGCGGTTGATACAGATTCTGATAACTTTCATTCAATCAAATCGAAATATGATGGGCTAGTGGATGAAAAGAATAGAATCGAAAAAAAATTGTCGGAATTAAGTGAAATACTTCGTCAGGTAAATTTTAGTTTGATTGAAACATATTCATATTTATCAAATTTCATAGTTAGTAAGTGATTTTTTCGTACGTGATGGATATTTAACAGATCTTTTATTTTAATTGAATGGTGAAGAATTATAGGCGTCTTCTTTTCAAATAAATGCTTAACTTATATCTCTACTTTGAGTCAAATATGTGAAACCAATGATGACAGATATTCCTTGATGTTACGGTTTTGAAAGTCAAAAAATGTGAATAGCGTATGTTAGTCATCTTTATATTGTAGCCTTGGTGAATCAAACTAGAAGTGTTTAGAAACTAATGAAACCTGGCTTGATGAAGACATAATGCGAAATAAGTAGTTCCTTTTGCTCGTTTCAAACTAAACTTTATGTCCAAATTTATTTATTTATTTATGAATAAATACATAAATATTGGTACAAGGAAACACCAGATGCATATGCGCCGCACAAATCTCATTTGATTTGTGTGAGGGCTGTGATACTGCCCGGGCGCCCAAACCGAAGCAGGTGGTTTTCTTAGGGGGCCACACCCCGAGCCTTTGACCTGAAGGTCTGATCCACAAAGCAGTGGAGCATCGTGAGGAGATGCAGTCCCATGGTAGCCGGTGACCAACGGTTGGTTCGTACGCCATTTGTTCCATCAGGATACTGGAGCTCATGTGCACCATTGGTTTGGAATCAGGGTTTTCCAACTCCTCTAGGTGGACCCTCCGTGTCCACCAACCCGGTTAAAGTGCCGGACATTCGCTTTTCGTCCTCTCAATTTCGTAAGCAACACCCCCACCACGAGAAGGCAGTGAGTAGGACTTCCCTGGCAGAGGCTATATATTCGCGTGGCCATGAGAGAGCATTTGGAGAGGGAGAGCGGACTCTCCGCACTCTCGGCCGTATCAGGGCATTTGGAGGCTTTATATCCAAATGTCTTTAACGATCTAATTTTCTTAGGTATCTAAATAATTCTTCTCTTCCAAATATTTTTCTTCTTATTACAACTCACATTTCCCTTTATGTTAACACGATGAAAATGATTTAACATTCTAAGCATCAGCAAATATTACATCGAGTAATTTTTTCATTAGTGCTCTTGATATCAAATTTATAGCCTGTAACTTTCAGTGCAGAATTAATGTTTTGATTTGTTTACACAAATAACTCCGAATCTATAATGAAGTCATTGTAAACGCCAACAATTAATGATCCCAGACAAAATTCATAGTTTCCCAACCGATCAATCAGAACACTACGAAGACCAGTCAAGTACCTTATTGTTAAAGTTGTGGAATCCTTAAAAGACGATTTATATAGAACTAAATCATTATCTATTTACGGTAAGGTCAGCGTTCAGCATATTGTCGCTACATTACTTTATTAACTTTCAATGCATTTTTGGTATAACTTTTGTCGAGTGACAACTGCTCAGTTCATGAATTATAATCATTGTATTCGACATACAACCGATTAACTTAAGTGCATTTTTAACTTTACTGGATTCATTACCAATAAAGGCTCTTTTAAGAAACTAGACTTCTTACTCTAGTTGCGCTTCAGATACAAAGAGAATAGGGACAGCCTCATTCACCGTATTGAAGTTGAAGTCACAAAATAGAAGCTTGGCGCAAGAACACGTCACTTAAGGTGTCTGTATTTATTGTAAATATAATACTCAAAAACTCGCATAATTATATAAGATGAAGGGTCATGTGCAGGATAATTTATAAATCCCAGTCGGTACATAACTAGTATATAACTCTGAGTAATAGGTTCATAGTTAATTTATTGGTATTTATGAACGGGAAAAAAACATCGCAACAGTTAATGGGTCAAGTAAAAGCTTACAACTAAGATAACGTAAAAACAACGTTCACGTTGATATGTATAAATGTAAGGAATATACAAACGTATTCTTCTAAAAATAGCTTGTCGAGTTAGTAAAACTTTTTTCATCCTTTCACTATACAATTAGGTCAGCTTTTCTAATGATTTACAATTGGAATGGTAAACGTGGTTGCTAACGTAAAATAGACTGGAATTGTAGGTATTAAAACTATTCGTATCGATTCAAAATTACTAATCTGCGATTGTTAATTTGACGCATGTCGAATGAAAGATAGTCATCAGCTATATTTTTTACTGTTAATTTTCATTTGCCCAATAACTGTTTCTAAATAGAATGGCAATGTTGGACTGGATACCCCTTTAGTTGATGATGAAGGCTACCCACGCCCTGATATTGATGTGGCTCTTATACGAATAACGCGAAACAATATCCGTTGTAAGTTTGTAGGCCTGTTTAGTTTGGTTCTGTATATTTCGTTTCAAGAGAACTCTTTTATTATTCTTGCCGCTAGCTAATGAGCTGCTTATACTGTTTAGTAGTTCGTGTGATATAGATTGAATTCCCCAAAGCAATAGTCAATCACAAAGTAGTAACCACTGTCATGTCTAATCAATAGCGCTTATCGAATGCTGCTGATTAAGTCATGACAAGATTAACAGACCAAGTTCCTCAACACTGCTGATTTATGTCTTATGAAAAGCATCAGTACCCTTGAGGCTGCAGATAAGTGTTGCTAACGAGTCAGTCAGTCACAACGTAGAACTTCGTACGTACGTACATCAGTTCGAGTTGCCATACCACATTAGCACAGAGATGCAGTTGTCGATTCAATTCCCATAGTGGTAGAAGTAGTAGGAGTATAATCAGAAATCCAAAAGATTAGGGTTTGAAGAAATTATTGAAGGAGTATACTACGGTGAAATAAATTTGGAAAGAGAAAAAGGATAAGGACATGAGGAATTCAGAAGATTAGAATTTGGTAGAACACAAAGAGTGGATGCACCTTCGCCATTGCAAACGATTTTCGGCCATGTCATTCAAGGTCTCTAACCATCGGTTGCTGTCATCTCGCGAATCCCAACCAGGTAATCTACACCTACCAACATGGCCCAGTCTACTTGTCAGTGACTTCATTGATTTGTGCCACGTTTTGGTCTGGCCACCCTTAGCTTCCTTCCAACCTACTCCTACACCATGAAACATTGCACGTCGGGGCAGTTGGTGGTCGGGCATACGTAACACATGTCTCAGCCATCTCAACTGATGAAGTTTCACCACTTCATCAATCGATTTGCCATCCCTACCTAGTACTCGTTTCCTAACAACTGCATTACTTACCCGGTGGTCCCAGGATATACGAGCAATGCTTCGAAGACACCTATGATCGAACACTAGTAGTCTACGAATATCCTCTACTCTTATTGGCCATGTTTCACTGCCATAAAGTAGGACGGAGCGAACTGCTGCACAGTAAACCCGTCCTTTGGTTGCTAGACGGATATCTCGCCTACGCCATAAATGACGCAAGTTGGCGAAAGCTAGACGAGCCTTCTGTATCCGTGCTGAGATTTCGTCACATACCAGACCACAAGAGCTGATGAGACTCCCAAGATAAGTGAAGTGGTCTACACGCTCAACTACTTCACTCCCTATCATTAGTTCAGGTGTCGATGCAACCCAATCCTGAAGTAACATTTTGCACTTCGAGGGAGAGAATCGCATCCCGAACATCCCTGCATAGTTGCTTATAGTAGTCAGAAGACTCTGCATGTTGTCAGCGTCTTCACCGAGTAAAACTATGTCGTCGGCGTATTCTAAGTCAACAAGTGAGCCTCCTGGTAAAAGTTCAACTCCTGGAGGTTTAGCTGATGAAAGTGCTATCTCTAAAAGTATGTCAATGACAAAGTTAAACAAGAATGGGGAGAGTGGACAGCCCTGACGAACGCCACTTGTGGTAATCAGTTCTGATGACAGTTCGCCATAGGCTCTAACTCGACCAGTTGTGTTCGAGTAGAGAGCCTTTATGAGGTTAATGTACTTCTTTGGTACTCCTTTCAGTGACAAACATTGCCATAGAACCTCACGATCAACAGAGTCAAATGCCGCCTTAAGGTCAAGAAATACTACTATTGTGGGACGTCTGAATTTGTGTCTATGTTCTAGAACCTGACGTAGGGTGAATATCTGGTCTGTGCAACCACGTCCAGGTCGAAAACCAGCTTGGTTTTCTCTAGTCTACTCTTCACGAGCTTTGGTTAGGCGACCTAGTATTATTGAAGCTAATATTTTAGACACTATATTAGTCAAACTGATCCCTCTGTGATTGTCACAAGAGGACTTTTGTCCTTTCTTATAGACTGGCACAATCAGTGATTGGGACCAGTCAGATGGAATTACGTCCAGTTCCCAGATTCTACCTAAGACCTCAGTCAATCTCATTGCTAGTACTGGACCACCATCCTTAAAAATCTCAGGGGTCAACCTGTCAGGGCCTGCTGCTCTCCCTCGCTTCAGATTTCCTATAGCTTTTTCAACCTCACAGAGGGTTGGAGGACTTACATCAATTTTCCATTCAGGACGACTGGGGATCGTGGGTAATTGAAGTGTGGCTGAAGGCCAGTTGAACTGATCCCTAAAGTGTTCTGCCCATCGATCCAACCTCCTGGATTGAGAATGAATAATATGCCCATCTTTATCTGAGATGGTTTCACTGGTATTCGGGTTCCTAATACCGGTTTCTTTAACGAGTCTGAATAGCTGCCTACTGTTACCTATTGCCGCTGCCTTTTCCATCTCTCTTGGTTTCGCTACCCACCACTGTTCACGATCATTACGTAGACTTCTTATAAGCCTGCGCTTAAGTTGACTCCGCTCTTCGTTATGCTCAGAGCCAGGTGGGATGAGTTTACGAGCATCTATCAGTGCGGTAGATGCTGCCGAGATCCATTGTTTCTCCCTAACGTTATGGTTTACCTTACTAGCAGATATTACTGCTGTTTCCACAGCTTTTCGGATGTCATTCCACGCTGCCTCGGGGTGGACACAACTTACATGGCTGCCTAACTGTTTTCCTAGTTGTTCCTGAAATATATTCTTAGCTTGCCTATCATTAAGTAGAACCCTTAGAGGCTTCCCTGCAGTGTCTTTCCTACGACCAGTAAGTCGCAGACAGATACGTGCTCGCACTAGAGCATGATCTGAATCTAAACATGTGCCCCAGAATGAGCGACAGTCTTCTATCGAGCCCCTCCATCGGTGGCTGATAGCGATGTGATCTAATTGGGTCCAACGTTGGGACGAATTCGGGGGTCGCCATGTCAAAAGATGTTTTTCTTTATGCTTAAAGTTAATATTTGCAAGAAATAGGCGGTTATCTGAGCATAGCTGCAACAGACGGTCGCCATTATCTGTTCTTTTCGCCATGACACCATAAGATCCACCCAGGTGTCTTTCCCTTTCACTTAGTTTACCTACTTGAGCATTAAAGTCACCTGCTACTATTACTACATCAGAACGCCTAGCTTTTCGGATAAGGTCAGAAAGTTTCCTATAGAACTCATCTTTTATATCGTCTGAGCTGCAGTCAGTGGGAGAGTAGCCAGAGACGACGAAGAGGCAACGACGAGTTTCCCTATCTTTCCGGGTCCTTACTGATCCGTTTAGTCGGACAGCGCATAGACGACTGTCTACTGGGATCCAGTCTAAAAGAGCTAGTTCTGCCCTAGGACTTAATGCTATACCTAATCCAGCGAGGCCACGGGAAGCAGCATCATGGCTTCCAGATACACGAAGCGTGTATCGAGATGAAACTTTATTTTGATTAGGTGCGGTCAAATGAATGACACTACTCGGATCTTGTATGCGCGTTTCGGAGACGCAGCACACATCGATGGTGTAAGATTCTAGAGTCCTAGCTAAGGAAGCCTGTTGTCCTATTTGCCACAATGTTCGGACATTAAAAGTTCCTATATGTAGTTTAGAGCGTGGTTTCAGGAGACCAGGAATAACGTTCTGTGTACTCGAATCGTTTGCCCTAGCGGTGCGAGGTGATAAAAGGACGTGGGAAGGGTTAGTCGTGGAGATAACAGAGTTATTAGGTGTAGGAAGGATTTGAAAGCGACCAACTTGGTCTTGTGTGCAGTTAAGGGTATGAGGGCTAGTATCACTTCCCGGCTGCCCACACCGTGGAAGGGTATTTCTTGAGGGACCTGAAAAAGAAGTTGGATTAGTGTTGGTCTTAACGACCTGGGAGCGTGACCGCAGTGCCCAAGGGACATCTGCTTGAGGCCGGTCACGCACGGCCTTTTTGTGGGGGATTTTTGATGTGTTAGCTCCGTTCTTCAAAAGTCCTTACCGCCGGAGACGGGAATCCGTGGGATAAGGCGAGGTGTGCATTTTTAGGGTCGACCTTTTCTAACCCCACCCCTCCTTGTGGGAAGGCAGCATCGCTGTCATGCTGGTTGTCTGAAGGAAACACCTTACTGCTTTCACACCTCTGTACAGTCAGCAGTACGACTTCGCTTTCGGACCTTGGGATTGCTGCTTTTAGTCTCACCGCTCTTCAACCGACCTGTCTGGCATGGTAGGACCTTGAGGAACGATTGTTTCAGCCAGCATAGCTCGATTGGATCATCACAATAGGCAAGCCCGACCACCACGTCAAGGTAGCAGCAACGAGTACCAGCTAACATGGAATTTAGGCCCTGGGCATTTTTCTGATTATCTTCAGCTATCTGTCATAAGATTTCCTTTATAAGTTGTCCAATCCGAAAATCACAGGATTTGTACTGTTGGACGTATAAGTCTAAAGGTATTATTAGTTTATTTGGAATCATGGACCTATCTAAGTTTTTCCACCATTGAAAACTTGAAAGCACTATATGTCCGTTTCGTCCCAGTATGGACTTTCTTAGTAGTGTGCATTCACGACCTCGAACCAGGAGCTTTCGTTTCTTGCGAGTACGCCTAAACGTTAGACTACTAAACCGGCACCCAACGGTGTTACCGTTTATCTCCAACCAATCCACGGCATTGCGCGACCATCTTATATTGTCTTCGGTAGATAACTACCGACGGTTAACCACTGTCAGTGACTCCTTTGATTGGAAGTAATTGGTTTTCCAACGATCTAACAATTAAATGCCAAAATTTGATGTAAACCAAATGCATATGATTAATCTATTCTTAGAGAGTAAACTATGCTTTTATCGCTTCGCTAATTGGCATATTGGTTTTCTTGTGTTGTAGTTATTGTTTAAACAAATAAATCATTTCAAAAGTTTTTATTTGAAGTATTATTTCTTCAAAACAGGAGAGTTAATGATCATTAAACCTGTTGCCGAATAATTTTCTCTGCTGTTTATAATATAGGCTTAATAGATCTTCTAGTAGTATTTTTTAAATAGTGAACCATTATATTTCAGTATATTGAACTAACGGAAAATTTCTCACATATTAGTAGATTGCATTGATTTTTAATAAGTCTCTTCACAAAGTTGTGAATAAATTATTGTCCAAATTATTTCACTGGAGTTGCTTTATAAATGATTCAGTTTTTAGTCTCTTTTCTAATGCATGCGTATAAGGGTATGTTTGTAAAATTCTGTGTTGTTTCTCATTTGTTTTCTCTTCTAGGTTTAAATACAGATCACAAACAAATAATGCTTGAATTGGAAAGTGTTTTACATAAAATACATGAATATGCTCGTCAAAATCCATCTAAAAATGTTTTAACTGATGGAAATGCATGTTCCAGTGAAAATAAACTAATTGAAGATCAATCTGCACAAATTGTGAAGAAAGCTTTCCTTAAAATTGATCAAATATCACCTAATTCAATAGTGGAACAAGCAGTAAGCATTTATTATTTGTTTAAATGAGTGTTAATCTTATGTAAACGGTAATAATCGGTGTAATCTAAAAATTTTCTGAATAAAACCTATCTTTTAGTTATCAAACTGATGTTCATTGTTATTTCAACCTTATTTATGTAGAGTACATGAAAGTGATAGCTAGTCTAGGCGTTACTACATAGACTCTTGAATGTTGTACGTCTGTTAATGTTTTAAACTTGTGAACTGTAACTTCACAATATGAAATAATTAAACTAGACTTATTGACTGTTTCGTATACGAAAAGGATGTTGCTCACTGCTAATGTTTATTGAGAGTTTATCCTGCACACTTTGGATTTAACAAGGGATTCACTTATAATACCGTTTAGTTGCCCACGTTCATGATTTTCCTTTCCCTTTTAACGTTACTCATAATTGCAGATGTATTTTCAACTACGCTATACCATATACCTCTAAATACCTTGAGCCCTACAGTTGTCTTCTCTCTCTAAAATTTACGAATATTAAATTGACTATAGATTTTGGGAATTTCAAGATTCAGTTTGAACTGTAGGAAATTCCCCTTGTTATCACCTCGAATAATTTCACAAGCAATCGTGTCGTTTACATCGAAATCAGAGGTAGCAATAGCTAATCAGCCTGTTCGATAATTTTTCTGCTGTGCTTTTAGGTATTAAAAGACAATAGATAGCAGACTGTGAACATAAATTTGTTGATAGTTGATATTATCAGCAAGGTATACTTTCAATGTCGAGGATACTTATGCTTTCCTTTAGATGTAAATCTTGAAAATGTATGCCAACCATCAGAGAACCTGATTCTGTTTATTCCTGTCGATTCCCTCCAACCATCTGTCGTGAAAACGTATTATCTACAATGTTAAATCACGTAGAGTGGTAGATAAATTGTATTCTGATCCGTAGTCTAAGTATTAGGCAGAAGTGATATTAGTTATTACTTTGTGTGATCAAACAGGACGTAAGACCTTTTTTGATAAAAATTCGAATTGTGATTTTTTGTACATTGTAAATGGGGACTAGTTGTGCATCAAACTTGAACTAAGATCCCAATATTTCAATCTGCTTTACAGGATTTAAAAGTTGGAGATCGAATAATTCAATTTGGTTCAGTATCTGCTGACAATTTCACTTCATTACAAGATATATCTACTGTCTTTAGAAATACATCTCCCGGTGTAAGTTAAAATTAGAAAAAAAAACATTATTACTGATTGGTGTTTTTAACGGTTTCCTTAAACCGTTCTTTAGAAAGAAGGATATTTAAATTTATTTTCGTTGTTTCCTTTAGTATATCAGTTATCTGGTATCAGTGTAGGGTTGTGGAGATTGTTGGGTTTTTATTGAGATTATGAACTGATGCAGTGCTTCCAGGTTTTCAATGGTGGTGTACGATAGATCAGTTATTCGGTGGTGTTATAATGCGAAATATAGCGTATTGCGATAGGACTACGCGAAATTCTACCGATTGACCAAATTCAGATATCCTAGTTCGACCCCAATACTGTTTCCCAACTCCAATAAATCAGAACACAGCCGTTAAATGAGAATTGTTTATGGGGTCAGCAGCAGAACAAAAATGGTTTACAGACAAGGCATATTTATACAGTTACGATGAATATTAACAGTACCCAATGGAAAGAAAGGACACGTAAAGGTTATAATTAGGACGACTCAAAATTGACCAATAGGGAAACGACACATGAAAGTCATAGTCAGGACACTGTAAATAATGGCCAATAGGAAATAACATGCGAATTATGTGAAGAGTCTGGAAACATACCATTTTACATTCGAGATAATTTTTGGGATATTCTTGTGAATATCCTAACACCTCCCCTTGGAAAAAATTAATAGCGACGCAATCGTGGGTTTACTTGAAAGTTTTTTGGTTTTCTGCGTTTGCGTCCCGACCTCCTTGGAGGTAACGACCGAGAACCGGAAGAATGTTCTGCCTGATTAGATGACTGAGTTGCCTCCGTTGTAGGTATTGGCGGAAGTTGGAAAGTATCCAGTAATAAATCGAGTGGGACGCGTTTCGTAACTTCAATTTTTTTCTTGGCTTCTCTTGGCCTTAGTTGATTATGGTGCCTGGTCCAGATTTCTCTGTTTACTCTGACCTCATACATGACCTTCCCCTGTCTCTTTGCGACTTCACCCTCTATCCATCTATCATACCCATGTCTATAGTCCCGCACATACACTTTTGCGCCAACTTCGTAAGGAATTCGGGTATTCTTCATGTGAGGACTCTGTTGGGCTACTCTCCCGGGTGTCATTGCATTATGAATTGTTCGCAGCTTCCGTCCCATAAGCACCTCCGCAGGGGATTTGAAGTTCGGCAATAAATCATGAGGAGTCGTCCGGTACACAATTAGAAATCGTTCTATAATATCGTGTGTTGTTCCCTCCCCTCTTGCCTTAAGCATGGCACGTTTGAATGTATCGACAAAGCGTTCAGCTTGACCATTAGATTGCGGATGGTAGGGCGGAGAACGGACATGATTGATCGAGTTTTGCATGCAAAATTCTCGAAACTGACTGGATGTGAACTGCGAACCATTGTCTGTTACTATTGTTTCTGGCAGACCATGCTGAGCGAAGATCTGGTTAAGGAGTTGGATGGTTCGAGTTGTAGAAGGTGGTGCAATCGGCAATATCTCCGGCCATTTGGAGAAGGAGTCGACCAGTATCAGATATATGGTACCATCTAGGGGTCCGGCAAAATCAATGTGCACTCGCGACCAGGGTTTTTCTGACTTGGGCCAGGGTACTGGTGGCAACTTAGGAGGATGTTTCGCAGCTGTCTGACAATGTGGACATGTTTTGACGAAGTCGACAATTTGCTTGTCCATGTTTGGCCAGTATGCGTAACTACGAGCGATAGATTTCATACGGTTTATCCCTGGATGACCAGCGTGAAATTGGCGTAGGACCTTGGCACGCAGGGTTGTTGGAATTACTACACGGTCACCAAACATCAGACAGTCATTGACAACACAAAGAGCGCTGCGACGATTCGCTAGGTGTAGCATCTCACCACTGAACTGCTTAACTGGCCATCGGCTCTGAACATAAGTGATTGCTTCTCGAATAATCGGGTCGTTTCTGGTAGCTTCTCGAACGTTTTCAGCCGTAACAGGCATAGCTCGCACGGCATTCGCCAATAGTGTTGCACCAGAATCATCTTCCGTTGCTATTGTGGCTATGAGTGTATCCTCATCAGTTGTAGAGTGCTTGCTGATAAGTCTGGACAATGCATCCGCTTGACCAAAATCTTCAGAACGTCGATACTGGATGTCGAAGTCGTAGCTCAGTAACGCCAACGCCCAACGTTGAAGACGATTAGCAGAATGAACAGGGATGCCTTTCTGTGATCCAAAAATTGACAACAGCGGCTTATGGTCTGTGAGCAAAGTGAAACGGCGCCCGTAAATGAATTTGTGGAAACGCCGGACAGCAAAAATCAGAGCTAAGGCTTCTTTCTCGATTTGACCATAACGTTTTTCAGCGGCTGTTAGTGTTCTCGAAGCATGCATCACTGCTTTCTCTGAACCATCGGGAAAAACATGCAGTAGTACGGCACCCAGTCCATGGGTTGAAGCGTCAGCAGCAACTACAATTGGTAGTTTCGGATTGTAGTGGGTTAACAGTAGTTTGGAGCTTAACATGGCTTTAAGTTTTGAAAAAGCTGATTCACATTGCGTGGACCAATTCCAAGTAGCATTCTTTTCTAGCAGATGATTTAATGGATATCGTACCTCATGTAGTGATGGTAGAAATGCTGAATAGTAGCTAACCATTCCCAAAAATGATCGCAGTGAAGAGACATCAGTGGGAGCAGGCATTTGCTGGATTGCGTGAGTATTTTGAGGATCAGGATGTCGTCCAGAAGCATCAAAGATAAACCCCAGGTATTTAACGGAGCGTAGAAAGAATTGGCATTTCTCTGAACGAAGGCGAAAACCATTATCTTGGAGGCGTTGTAGAACTAAATATGTTCTGGAATGCAGTTCATCAGCAGTTGAGCCGACAATGAGGACGTCGTCAAGATACGTAGCAACACCAGGAACATCTGCCAGAATAGTATCCATAATGTGCTGGAATATCGCTGGAGCAGTCTTGATACCAAAGGGTAATCGGGTATACTGGAAAAGACCTCGGTGAGTGTTGATTGTCAGCAATTCTCTCGATTCGCGAGCGACAGGAATTTGAAGGTAAGCATCCGCGAGATCTAGCTTAGCGAAGTAGGTACCACCATTTAAAATAGTAAACAAATCATCTGGGATCGGCAGCGGATAATGATACTGTTGCAGCGCCGCGTTGAGTCCTGTAGAGAAGTCTGCACAGATGCGTATGGAACCATTAGACTTTTTGACAACCACAATTGGTGCAGCCCATGAAGAATAAGAAACAGGTACAAGGACACCTTCAGTTTCCAACCGTTGCAGTTCAGCGTCGACCAGAGGTAGGGATGCATATGGGACTGGACGTTTTGGACGGAAAACTGGCGTAGCTTCTGGCTGAAGTTTCAAAACAGCTTCAGTTGTGGAACAAAGACCAAGACCAGGCTGAAAGAGTTCAATGAATCGTTTTTGGAGGTCTGCAGCATGCTGTTGTGTAGTAGCAAGAGTTTTTACTTGATTACAGATAGTGCTGATAGGTAGATTGGCAAGACCAAGTTCTTCGAACCAATCTAAACCCAGAAGATTGAGAGGGGATTTGGTGATGTAGCACGTACCATTGAAGGTTGTACCTCTGAACGAAATACAGCAGTTAAGTTCACCATGAAGTCGGAGATGACCACCACATGCACTAACGGCTGTCTGCGAAGACGGTTTGATGGGAGGTTGACCCAAGGTTCGCCAAGTATCTTTCGACAGGATAGTGATATCTGATGCAGTGTCCAACTGCAATCGAACTGGTTGACCATTGATTGAGAGGGTTAGAAATTTGCGTCGCGTGGCGGCATGAGTGTGAAAGACTGCTGCTAAACTCCTTGATGAGGGAAGCTGCTTTTTAGTATAACGACGTTGCGTCTGTGCATTTCGACGCCTATTGGGTCGATGAGATTGACAAAAACCGCTTTTGTGACCAACTTTATGACAGCGATCGCACACCTGCTGTTTGAATGGACAAACTTTCACATAATGCCAGGCTCCACAGTGCCAACATGGAGAAGGGGGCTTCTTGTGAACCGGTACTCTGTGGGCGATTGGTGCGACCATTTCATGGGCTTTTAACATAGCATCGTATTGATGAGAGCTGAAAGCGGCATTGTTAGGACCTGCTAATTCAGGGATAGTGGGGTTTGAATCCACTACCGGGTATGTTTCTGAAACGGATAGTGCTGGACAACCGGGCGTCTCTTGAGAGTCTGCTGTTTCGTTTGAGTTGCGGCTGGTCGAAGATTCATGGAGGCTGTGATCATTTGCCAGCTCTGTGTGCAATTCAGAGATTAATACATCCACTTCCGACGCATATGCGAAGCATTGATGATCCAGAAACTGTGAGCGTAGTTTGACCATGAACTCCAAATGTCGGTCAAATAGCAACTGTAAGCGGTCAGAAGGGAGCGTCATTTTTCACTTTTGTCCCCGTCGCCAATTGTTATAATGCGAAATATAGCGTATTGCGATAGGACTACGCGAAATTCTACCGATTGACCAAATTCAGATATCCTAGTTCGACCCCAATACTGTTTCCCAACTCCAATAAATCAGAACACAGCCGTTAAATGAGAATTGTTTATGGGGTCAGCAGCAGAACAAAAATGGTTTACAGACAAGGCATATTTATACAGTTACGATGAATATTAACAGTACCCAATGGAAAGAAAGGACACGTAAAGGTTATAATTAGGACGACTCAAAATTGACCAATAGGGAAACGACACATGAAAGTCATAGTCAGGACACTGTAAATAATGGCCAATAGGAAATAACATGCGAATTATGTGAAGAGTCTGGAAACATACCATTTTACATTCGAGATAATTTTTGGGATATTCTTGTGAATATCCTAACAGGTGGTTTATGGTGTTTTATTTGATTTTTATTTAGTTAATAATAAATATTTTGTCCAACACCATATATCAGAAATCTGTCAAATCATATCTTTTGTTGGTCTTTATATTCAATTTAGAGTGTATATCACTCCTTTTATCCTGAAAATGTGAATTATCAAGCAGTTCACTAACTCAATGGTTCTATTTTGTGTGAGAAATTTAACATTTATGGTTAATTGTTTTTTAAAAATAATCAATTTTACAGATATGAGCTTCAAGTTGTATCTCCTCATTTCCGTAACCACTTCACTAGTTCTCCCGGTCTCCCACATTTTCCGAAGATTCCACTTCATATTTTTGTTATATCTTATATCTTATTGTGCGATATTACAAAAAGATTTCGCACGAAGTGATTGTTTTCTAATCTTTAATATGACAATAAGAGTTTCATAATTGAGTTAGTTCTCAATTAGCAATCACGATATAATCTTATTAACAATCTTTTTTTATTGTCTTATCTGTATACTTCACAATTTTTCGTTCTTATTTATTTCATTGGATCTGGCGATGTTATTTAGAGCTATATTCACGTGTCCATTTCTCGTGGCGACAGTATAATCAATGTGCTTTCCATTTCGTTGTTGAAACCAGCTGAAAATGTCAGTCTAGGGTGAGTATATTGCTCTTGAATGTGTGTTTTATTTCGAATTTCCGAGTCCCCGACTTTCCAGTCACTTATAATCTGTTTAGTTCATGCCATAGTTACCGTAGTATGACTCCATATTAGTATGAATAAAGTGTAAAAACTGTACAAGAATCCTCCACATTAGATCTTTTGACCATAATTTAATAATGTATTATTTCCAAAATCGTGTCTAATTATAATAGTTTTTGTACTACGACCAGTCAGTTTTATTATCCTTATGGGATGTTACACCGCTGTTTATTCGTAAGAAATAGAAAATATAATGCGACAGGACAATAAAATAAATGTAACACGAAAATAATAGAAAATAAATACTGGTGTAGTGTGGTCTCCTTATATCCATATAAGTAGTATATGGCGATGTTCATACGTAGAATGTATTTTGGCAGAAGACCGATAAGGAAAGAACTGAAATGAAGCGCAATTGGTAGGAAAATGCATGAACAATGAAATAAGAGAAGATGAACTGATATTTGCAGAAGGGACAGTTAAAATTGAGACAATTGGTTGTTATTTTGCAAATTAATTGTTTACTGTAAGGTAATCAGAATTCAGTGAGATAGTCTGTAATTTGTGCTTAAATACATTCGATTGTTCCTACCTGTGTTCTCATTCATTACACTGGTTTCTCGGATAGAAAGCTGTTTTGATTGGAACTTGAACACTCTTGGATCACAGAAATTAGTGCACAGATAACTGGTTGTAAAATATAAGGTTCTTTGGTGTCAATATGTATTGTGGTTTCGGTATTAACTTGAAAAAAAAAACACCGTTTGGTGGTTCGATTAAAATATACCACTTGACTGTATCACAAAATGTATGGTTGAAAGTCTATCAGGATTTCGTTATTTACACATGCTTTTTTAAAACATTTTTATTTCAGAATGCACGTTGTTCCTATTTGATGCTTTTATGATAATTTTTAATAAAAATAATTTGATGTAAACTTTTTGTTATATGTATTCGTTTTCGATGAGCATAGATTCTTATATATATATATATATATATATATATATATATATATATATATATATATATATGAACTTACTAATTTGAGGTCTTTTGATTGTCTTTTACCTAAAGTAGTCGTATTCAGAAGAAATATATCTAGGTGGTACTGATATATAAATGCAAAACCAGTCGCTCACAACAGTACCTTCATAAGACTGTCCATAATTATTAGTGTGAGTTTAGTTAAGTAGTTCCTTTTTTTATCACGTGAAATTCTCCGTAGAATCACTTAAGTTCATGAATCTAACGTACTATACTCCCTTTACCAACAATTGGATTTATGAAAAGTATACTCAGATATCATATTCACCATTTCATAGATAAAAAACTGTGTCCGCATACAGACCTCATATTCTTTTTCTTTAGACTACTGAATTGGCACTGTGTAAAAATACTCTTTAAGGTCTAGCTGTTAACAATATTACATCGTCTGCCAATCCTGCATATTTCCATTGGCTTTATTATAGGTTTCAAGTATTTAGGCAATTTAAAATTTCTAAACAACTTAGCACATTGGAACAGGTTGGTGAACTGTGCATTAACTATTAGTAGTTTGGTGAGCCGTGTTTATTAGTTGGTGAATAACTGTTGTAAGTGCAATGCATGGGTACGATTGATGAGTTATGGAGATGGGAATTCATCACCACCATGTACTTGAGAAATTACTAAGACTGATCGAGCTTGTAAATTGCTCCGAAAGGATAATACTAAATTCCCTTTCATTTGAAGTTGTGGGATTATCATTAAAACATGATATGATAGTAATGCTTGGTCGTCAGAAGATACTACAATATATAGGATAGATCAAGTGTAGTGCCTACTGATAACTATAAGAACCTGGTCAGAGGATTTTTTGACAAGCATATTTACTTGGTGGTTACATGCCATTGTGTTGACCAGACGATAAGGTTGGTTACAATTCTTTTGAAAACCGGGTGGAAAAGCGAGGTAAGGTATCCTTCAGGTTGGAGTTTTGTCATAGCAATCTGATTTCATAAAAAGTAGTTATGAGTGTGTCATGCAATATGAAACTCCCATTCAACTCCGTATACCACTATTTAAGCTAACTATGTCAGGAAACTGGTATGCGCCTAAATGCGGACTAAAAGGTTTCGGAAACGTTAATACAGATAGTCAAAAAGGGTGATCAAATAAGTCGAACGTCCCGACTCACTTCCATCAATCAAAATTTCTAATAAAACGGGAAAATATAAACTAAAGATGTGATGACGAGGGAAAGTAATAGGCACATACGCTCATAAATAAACAATCAATGTTACGAGTGGATAACGGACAAGGTCGAACATGTATGAACAACTATTCAAAAAGATCTGATCAACTAGTGTTTCCAAAAGACAAAAATACACATGGGTTTGAAATATTACTAAGTGCTGCGAAATAACTAAAACGTTCTTGTTATTTGAATTTGAAGTCGTATCCCGCATGTAGGGTCGTGGATGCACACTACTGAGTAGTCCCTTACTAGGATGGAACGGCCGTCCTATGCTTCCAGGTTCTCAATGATGATATAGCTTAGATCGTCTCATGAATTCAATTAATGAAATCGCCAAAATCTCAATTCTGATCAGAATGAGTAATCATCAAGTCTACAGTGAATTAAAGTGTACCTTACTTTTGTAGGATTACACATATCAGTTGTCAAGGTACGACACATCAAAATAAGAAATGTTATCCCAATCACAAGGTGCATGTAGTTATGATACTGGCGCGACGCGCGTTCGCAAAATAAACTGTTCACTGGCAATTTTAAGGCAAGATACAACGTTTGAAAATGCCAACACAATAGACGGCATAGGAATAAGTGATAGTTTAGGACGATTATGAGCTATGCAGAGAATATAAGGTATGGCTGAATATGAAGTGAGATATACTTGTTTGTGTAGGTAACCGATTGAAGTCAGCACAGTCATTACCTACCAAGTTTGAATGAATCGTACAGTGTCATGAGGAATTAAAACAACAGAATGTCTGGATTATGCACTTGTACCTCACATTACGATTGTTTATTTTAGGGTTCGCTCGACAGAAGTAGTGAGATATTTGTTTCCCATGATTTGTGACAAGTGGATAAAGAGCGTTCTTGGTTATGAAAATTTCTTGAACTTGTTATATTTCTCATAAAGCCAAAGGACTAAACAAGCATAATACTGATAATAGGGGTGACTGTACAGCAAAATGTAAAGTGGTTAACTTTATTGCCTACAGTTCAAGGTAATCGTCGAGCTTCCTTTTGAAAGATTCTACAGGTATCACATCTAGTGACGGTGTCCTTAATCTAGTTATTAAAACCGCGAGATGTTGAATGAAATTTCACATGAGCTCACCCATTCTATCTCACATTGGTGTACTTGTAAATGTAGATCGGTCTTTGGAATGTTAGGCAGTCTATCCGAATGAGCAATATGATAAATCAACACTGATTTGTCAAGGTAGATGTAGTTTAGGCTGACTTGTTGCTGTGAAACATGAGCGTCATGGCATATCCAGACGGGGCGTGATGTAGATGCTCAATCAAGCTTTTACGTCTAGTGGTGTTTCATATGACAGATGAGCGTGTAGATTGCATTCTTTCACGATTGACTATGATCACCATTACATGAAGATTACTTGCAAGGCATCGAAGTGGATCCGTCGCGGTATCGAAAGGACACCGAGAAGTGCCGAAGTCCAAAAGCGGAACTGCCAAGCGTGAGCGAGCTCGTGCAAGGCCATAGGCAACGAAAGGGAAACAAGTACAGTAAATCAATCACTGGTACAACGAGGTGTAATAATAATATGTAATATAATATATACCAATCGCGTTATCGTCATAAAAGTAGGTCACTGCAAGCTAAACATCAGTTTCGAAGCCCCACAAAAATGTTTATTCACTGGTACATATCTCCTTTTAAAAGTTACGATCATGTATGTATGCAATTTTGAGAGCCTGCATTACCAAGGATTGGTTCGATTTCGATAGTTGTAGCGCTTCAATTATGAGTGTGAAGTAATCTTCAAGATTAGAGCAAGGTCCAATTGATTAAACGCCCACCAATGTAATCTTTTCTTAGTTTCAGGCAACGAATCTGATTGTCGATCATGATGAAGAGAGCTATTTTAACTGGATTGGCTTTAGTAAGCTGGTCTAGGTAAATATTGCATTTACTCCACCAGTATTGTCTCGCTAGTGTACATATATGACACAGGAGTGATACTAGAATTCAAGTGATATCCGATATATCTTGGAAATGAATTATTTCTGAAGATTATTTATACAATAAAAACCAGATGTATCGGTTATCATCTATACTGAATTCAAGACTGCTTCACACCATATATTCTGAAAGAAAGTGGTTGTTGGCGAGTTTTTTTCGCGGAGGAAATATCATTATGCAAGATGTACCCTGAACACACAAACTCTTATATACTGGAATACAAACTCATTAATCAGTCCTTGAAGCTGAAAGTCGTATTGATTCAACAGCTGGTGAGACTAGCCAGAAAGGATGGAAATATTGGACTCTGGCTAATGAAGATAACTTCCATATCGCGGCTGCAACTATGTAAGTCTTTCCTGCCAAAAGACGCCGGTTGCCGGCTGGGACCCACATACATCCGAAAAAGGTCACATGACGCCAGGTGGACAACCACAAAAGCAGGTTAGAGCAGACCATTCCACATATGAACTGCCTAGATCACTAAAAAAATGTGGAAAAGACAGATGCTACCAACGCGGATATCATTGGGTAAGTAGGCTACCTGTCCATTCATATACGACTCATTCAGACAAACAGTACGGGGAAGCTCACGCGTTTCAAACTGAATGCAATAACTGCTTATACTGGGACGCCATGAGTTTTCCGAATAAAGTGGATGAGCTACGTCAACTTGGCAATGCTAATAATGCTCATCGGATAGGAATATCTGAAACGTGAATATTTTCTCAGTTTACATACCAGGAGCTAGCAATACCCGGGATGTCTTTGTTTCGAAATGTCAGAAAAACAGTAATTGAGGGTGGAGTAGCCTTATACATACGATTTTGCATGGAGATACATCAAGTACACAACCAAGAGCTTATCATTCTTGATGAATCCTTATGGTGCTCAGTAAGGCTGACTAACAAATCGACGCGACTGTTTAGAGTCGTCTATAGGAAGCCCACTGCTGATATTGAATACAACATTCGTTTCCTATAAAAATTATCCCACTCTACTCATCTGTGATTTCCTCATATCTTAAGGGACTTCAATATTCCCAAATTTATTATCAGGAGCATATGTGTACTGCAGGTAAAAGTTCTTTGAAGCTCGGTTCTTAAACCACTTTGGGAATCGGAGATTATCCAAAAATGTCAAGTTGGAAAGTCGTTTGAAAAAAACAGTCGGACATTGATGGGCACAGACTGAATATTTGCAAATGAAGAATGCGTAATCGAAAACCTCTGAATCGTGGCCCTCCTGAGGAAATGCTAATACGCCGTTATAGCCTTCATTTTTGTCAGCAACACTGAA